TATTCCTTTTTAAACCTTACTTTTTACATAAATACACATCATCTAAAATTATAATTACAATTTAGTCTTGTTTCTTGAAATTCGGCTTACTGCGATCTCTGCTGACTCTTAATTATGTTTTCAGCTATAGCAGATGAAAGGCGGAAGCTGTATGGTGTTCAGTTTCATCCAGAAGTGGATTTGTCGCTCGCCGGCAAGGACATTTTTCGTAATTTTTTGTATGACATTGCTGGCATTACGGGTGATTTTACAATGCAAAATCGTGAACAGCTTTGCATCCAGGAAATCCGTAGCATCGTTGGCGACAAAAAAGTTTTGGTATGCTCCCTCTATTGTATAAATATAAAGTGTGGAAATTGTTTTACACGCTGCAGCTTCCCGCATCGTTTTATTACTGTGTTTTTTTGCATTCAGGTAATGGTATCAGGTGGAGTGGATTCCACGGTCTGCGCCTCTCTTCTTCATAAGGCGTTGGGAAGTGATAAGGTGATTGCCGTACACATTGATAACGGTTTCATGCGCGCCAATGAGAGTGATCGAGTGGTCGAGTCGTTGAATAAGTTGCATTTGAATGTACGAAGTACGTCCCCGTTTTCATGTTTTTGGTTATTTTTAGCAGGTGCATGCTTACAGTGTGCTTATGACATCTTAAAGAAGCTGTCAGTTTTTGTTGTTCTGATGAAATTTCTTGTTGTCAGTGATCTTTATTGGTGGAAGCTGTTTTGTCTGGCAACTTTTCTACGCTATATCCGTTTTTTGATGCTTTTTTTAGTGCAGCAACGAAGCAAAACGCGTATTCTCGAGATCGTGTCTATGCATGCTTGCATTGGTCTGTGTGTGTGTGTGTGTGTGTGTGTGTTTGTCCGCTTTTACAACTCATTAGCCAGGAAAGGCTATTTTCTCTCCGCATGTGACCGTAGAAATCCAAGTTTAGCTGCCAAGTATCCTTACGATTCGCCTGCGAACACGTAAAAATTTTGGCAGGATTCTTCTAATCCGGGAATAAAAGGCTGAAATTTTTCGCATGCTCATGTGCGATTCTGAAAATATGAAATCAGCTTTCACACAGTTTGCTTGTGGACATATGAAACTTCATACGGGAGATTTTCTAGCTTAAAAATCGGACTACATGAAAAGCTGCAATTTTAGAAAGAATGTTTTGTCGACGAGTGACCATGAAAATTCCAATTCTGATTTCATGTATGCGTAGGCACGGAAAATTCTCTGTCGTGGGAAGGAGGCGGAGGGTTCCAATTTTAGGGTGATATGCCCTCCCCATGCATGACCTTGGCAGTTTCAGTTTTGCTTCACGTACACTTACTTTTCATGGATAGATACACGCAAGCCCAGACGAGAAGTTGTTTGCATCTTTTCAACCCCTGTTTTATTGTGCTAAGTGCCAGAAGTATCACAATTTGCAGTCGTTTTCGGAGAACTGTTGCAGTCTCGGTAGCGGGTAGTAACTATTCGAGGAGATTGGTATTTTTTTGGGGGACTAGTATACCGCGGAAATATCAAAAGTTATATATGCGGGGACGACCTGTTGGCGTACATTATTAATGTATAGCTTCTTAAATTTTCATAAAACTCGAACTATTAATCGCATTTTTGTGTGCATGTGTGTTTGTTCGTCAGTTGTGCGTGAAGAGAGCAATCCAGATCCGTTTAGATTTGGATCAGGACTGTGTTGGTCAGCAAGGAGCTGTCCGGCACTTTTTATCTCTACGCAAGAAGTAGAACTTGTTGAGAGCTGTGAATATATTCACTGGAATATTTTTCGGGGCTGCGCCACTAGAATGACCATGAAATAATTGGTCAGCGCACCGACTGACAGCACCATTTTCCTGCAAATGCTTCTAGTTAAGAGAATTGACACTGGCCACCAGGTCTGTCAGAAAACATCCGCTTAAAATTTTAGCTTTCTAGCTTTTCTGATTCCCCAATTAGCAACTTACTCGCCAAAAACTTTTACCGGCCTATACGTGAAGAACACGTATGACTGGAAGCTGGGTCTAAACTCATTCAGACCTACGTGGACGGGGAACGTCTCCTTAAAACTTCAGCTCTTTAGCTTTTCTGGTTACCAAGTTAGAAGTTTTGGCAGGCCTATACGTAGGAACCACGTGGGTACGAGCGCCCATTTTTGGGACAGGGGCCTGTGCATGCTTATAGATAAGTTTCCAAGGCTTCAGCCCTGTAGCTTGTGTATGTCTCGGATTGAAAAATCGGTACAGATGAACACACAGACACAGACTCACACACAGATAACCCCTTGACAATATACATTCTTGCACTGCATAGATGTAAAAACCTCATAATAAAAATTACCCTAATTATT